TCTCTTGTATCGTCTCCCCCCTCTATCATGGTTTTCCCACTTAAGGTGCCTGCACTTCCCCCCCTTTCTTCCTTACTAATACCCTTGCTCCCATGATCCTACCTCTGTTGAACTGCTTCTTTCTCCTTATCCCCTAGGTTCCTCATATACCCTTTTTTTAAAAGACAGGGTCTCACTGTGTAGCCCAGGCTGGCCTCAAACTCAGAGTGCTGAGATTAAAGGTGTGTGCCACCATGCCCAGCCTGTAACATAATCTTTTAAGAATTAGAGCAAAGCTTTCTTGGGCTCAGAGCTTCCTTTCCTCAACAGGTACTGGGGATCCTCTTTGGTGAGGCTGCCCATTGCCCTTGCTTATGGCAAGGGGTATCAAAGCATTCATCTTTAAAAAATATTTTCTCATTTTTATTTTATGCATATGAGTGTATTGCTTTCATGTATGTAAGTGCACCTGTGTCATGCAGTGCCTGCTGAGGTCAGAAGAGGGCATTGAATCCCCTGGAACTAGAGTAACAGACGGTTTAAGGCCACCTGTTGGTGCTGGGAACCGAACCAGGGTCCTCTGCAAGAGCATCCAGTACTCTTAACCTCTGAGCCATCGCTCCACCCCCCTCAAACATTCATCTTTGAGCATACATTGTGACTTTTTTTTCCTGTAGATTGTGATGCTTGGAAGGTGTGTCTGCGACTCCGAGATAATGGGCTTCTAGCCAAGCCAACCCACGGTGATATCATCAGGTTTGCCCCTCCACTCGTGATCAAGGAGGATGAAATCCGGGAGTCCGTGGAAATCATTAACAAGACCATCCTGTCCTTCTGAGAATGGGAACTGCCCAGTGGCCCCAGGAGCTGCCTGGAGACTGGGGTCTGGTGAAGCTCTTCTTTCAACAGGGCAGATTCCACCCCCATGTCTTGAAAGATATTTTTTTTAATATGTATATTTTTCAGTTGATGCATAATAAGTGACATTTATGGACCTGCAGCTGGCTGTGTAACATTAGTATGAGAGTGAGTGGCATCTGTGTTCGGTTATGTTTTTGACTGTGAGTACTTTCAGAGGTGAAGTGTATCTGTCTGTATACAGAGAGCCTTCAAATCCAGGCCTTCAGTATAATTTGCATAAGTTTTTATAATTTCCTTGCTGGTATAAATGTTTTATATTTAGATTTGCTTAAACTTATACAGTTGAATCATAATCATTGAACGTTAGATAATTAAAGGTTAAGCCTATGTAAAATACTAGATTTTAGTAAACTTTGTATTGGCCAATACCAGAGTATATTCTATAGATTCTAAGAATTCATTCCTAAATTACATTTTAAGTGCTTGATTGCAATTTGTAAAACATGTTTATTTTCAGTATTTCTTTGAATAAAGCTTAGTTTTCCTTTTTACCCAAACCAGAGTACTTTGCATTTCCATATTAGAAATTATCAACATAATACACATCCTCACAGCCATGGCATCTCATGACGTGTGGCTGTGTTGTGATGTCATCTCCTATCGGGAGCACTGGGCGTGTTTTGGGTTTTCATTCTAAATAAAGCTTTGGCTGGTTCATATCTTCACAATGACATTTTTTTTCCCCCGTCTTTTTTTGAGATAGGGTCTCCCTGTAGCTCAGCTGGCCTGGAACTCACTTATATAGACCAGGCTGGCCTTGAACTTACAGAGATCTGCCTGCTTCTGCCTCCCAGTGCTGGGATTAAAAGCATATACCACCATGCCTAGCTGAGTTTTTTTCTTTTCTTTAAAATTTTATTTGTGTTTCTGTGGAGTAACTCCCTAGAAGGTGCTTGCTGTTCAAAGGGGATGAACTTTTAAACTTAGTGTCTGGGCTGCAGAGATGGCTCAGAAGATAAGAGCTCTTGCTGCTTTTCCAGAGGACCCCAGTTTGGTACCCAGCACCCAAGCTGGGTGGCTTACAAGGCCAGCTTACTCCAGGGGATCCAATGAGTTCTCCCTGGGCTTCTGCACATATGGTGCACAAATAAACACTAAAGAAGCCGGGCGTGGTGGCACACGCCTGTAGTCCCAGCACTTGGGAGGCAGAAGCAGGCCGATCTCTGTGAGTTCAAGGCCAGCCTGGTCTACATAGTTCCAGGACAGCTGGGGCTACAGGGAGATGCTGCTTCAAGAAGAGGAAAAAAAAAAAAAACACTCAAGAAAAAAACACTCAAGTTCAGTGGTGCTTGACTATCCCCTCCCTCCCCCAGGCTCTGCGAGGCCTCTGGTCAGCAGGATTGGGTCTGTGTTTATTCCAAGAATGTCTTCTTACTTGCTGCCAGAGTTCAATTGTGTGAGCAACAGGGGTCACTGCAGTTGGGCCAGCTCCCAGGCCGGGTAATTTTGCAGCTCCCTAGAGATTCCTGAGTGTAGTCAAAGTGGAGAACCTCTGGTCTTTGCAACCTTATTAAAATGTAGATTCAGACCCTTGGGTCTGTGTCATACACCTAGAGAGTCTCACTCTTCGGAGAAAGCCTAAAGGCTGGGTGAACTTGCAGATGAAGCTCCTGACTCAATTCCCCAAAGCCCATTGTATACTGAGATAGAGAGAAGAGAGAAGAGCTCAGTTGTGCAGAACAGTTAGACCCTTGATGTTAGGAGGTTCAGGAAGGTGCAAAGCCTTGAGTTCCCCACAAGCCAGGTTTTGATCTGGTGAGCCTGGGATCACTGGGAAGGGGGGAAGCAGGGAAGGGGACCTTTCTAAATGCAGTTAGAAAGCCAGCCAGACTGACTCCCAAGGAATCACTTAGCATGCTTACACTACTGTGCCACCTGCATGTGGCAGGCAGTGGTGAGCAAGGCACAAGGGCCTGCTTGCTTCTCTTCCCCCAGGAGGATGGAGTCCTAGGGAAGGGAGCTGCTTAGTGGTATGGCCCATTAGAGCCTCATGTTCCTCACCAGGCGATGGGATGTTACCGATCTTTCAGGAGCAGGATGAATAAAAGAAATAATGTTCTAGGTAAAACCCCAGGCGTACTCCTGTTTACTAAAAGAGCAACTGTTGTTTTAAAAAATACTTATTATTTTTATTTTATGTATATGAGTATATTACATGCATGGACGTGCACCCATGTTGTGCAATGCCTACAGAGGTCAGAAGAGGGTGTCAGATCCCCTGGAACTGGAGTTACAGACAGTTGTTAGCTGCCATGTGGGTGCTGGGAATTGAGGCCAGGTCCTCTGTAAGAGCAGTCAGTGGTCTTAACCACTGAGCCATCTGTCCAGGCCCATAAAAGAACAACTCTGTTTTAAAGGAAACAGAATAGTTTATTCTGAGCCAAATATGAGTAACCATGGCCCTCAAACACAGTTGCCCAGAAAGGCATGTTCCACTGTGGAAGAGGTCACATGCTTTTAATAGCCATAGTGTTATAGAAAATTCAGAGACCAACAGCCAAAGTCAGATGAGGAGAGGGAGTTTAATTTCACCCTAGTGGGACTGACCCAGTAAAAAAACAGTCATACCTTTAATCCCAGCACTCCAGAGGCAGAGGCAGGTGAATCTCTGTGAGTTCAAGGCCAGCCTAGTACATATGGAGTTTCAGGCCAGCTGGGACTACAGGGAGACCCTGTCTCAAAAAAAAAAAAAAAGCCCCTTGTTCAAGTTTTTGGGGGCTTTTATACTCATGTGTGAGAAATGCAAGCAAAAGGGACATAGCATATAGGTGGTAATTAAGTAAGGTGACATAGGGCTGCAAAGGTTACAGGAATGTGAAAGCCTTGGAAAACAAAGACTTCTATGTTTTAACCACAGGGGAGGTGGGGTGGGAGAAGAGTCCAGTTCACCTCCCATTCTTCTTATCTTTTCCTGGGGCCTTTCAGGGTCCAAAGTTCTTAGCAACCATTACCTAGCAAGAATTTTAGCAATTCTTCCTGGCCTTTACTTTCTATCACAATAGAACGAAAGGGAAATCATTCATTCATCAGTGTGCTTACAAAGTACATAGATGGGGGTCATCAGGTAGAGGGCTGGGGGGGGGGTCTCTCACCGGGTTCAGATGCCATCTTTATTGCATTCTTAGCTTTAGGGTTAGTGAAGGCTCAAGGTCCACCAGGCTTAGCAATTCATTCTGTAAGTTCCCTCTAGCAACCAGGATGCTAGGTCAAGTACAGGCATTGCTGGTAAATGGCTATTAAATTTTAAAAAATTTATTTTTTTATTTTATGTGCATATGTATATTGTATGCATGTGTGCAAGTGCACCTGTGTCATACACTGCCTGTGGAGGACAGATGAGGGTGTAAGATTCCTTGGAACTGGAGTTATGGGCAGTTGTTAGCTGCCATGTGGGTGCCGAGATTCGAATCCAGGTGCTCTTAACCTCTGAGCCAACTCTCCAGCCCTATAAATGACTATTAAAGGGACCAATGAGAATGTAATCTTGGCTCTATAGGCAACATCCAGGTCTCTCACCATCACAGTATTGTAGTCAGTCAAGGTCTGTCAGTGGCTCTTTAATTCAGATGTGACTTCTTCAGAGAAGTACAGTTCTCACTACTTGTGGATAATGGAGTTGCTAGATTCTCTTCTCCCCTAACTACAGGAATTGACAAGAAATCTAGAGAAGGGAAGGGTAACTTCCAGATAGGCTTGGCTGTATGGTGAGGGGAGGAGCAGTCCCAGGCAGAATCTGCACAGAGTAGAGTACATTCACATACACAAGCCCGTGCTTCTCAGTGCTGGATGTTCAATAGTCACCTGCCCCCCCCCAGTCAGTTACATTACAGTGGGGCCTTTGTATCAGGATAGCAGGTGTTGGGGGGGGGTCTCTGTTGCCGCCCTGTATTGCCCAGCCTCCATTCCAGGTCATCAATAAGGTGGAGATGTATGCCTTTGAGCATTGGACCAAAGTGTGTTCCAATGGTAGCACTGTGATCCTTTACCTGGACAAGGAGGGGGCAGGGCCTCCACCCTACATTCCCAGGGGATTGCTAAATTCCCTTGCAAAGTGGGTGTTTTAGTGTAAATTCAGGGCATTATCCTTTTAACAAGGCCAGGTACTATACCATCACTAAAGGGCCACTGGTGAATGAGGCTCACAGACTCTGACCTCATGGGCCTTTTTAGTAGGTATATTTACTGAAAAAAAAAAGTTATTGAGTTCTGCTTGGCTGGCACTGAAGGTTGGAAGTGGTTCAAAGAAATGGCATTCATCAAACACTCTGTGCCAGGCACTATTCCAAATACGTTGTCTTACAGCAATTACAGATGGGGAAATCAAGGCTTAGAAAAGCATGCTTGCCTGGCTCATTGAAACAGGAAGTGGGAATGCCTTGGGTGGGCAGCACCAGGCTCTGAGGGAGGTGGGGTGGTCTGGTGTCTCAGGGGCTGGAGGTTGGCAGCACCATTCCTTTGTGTCTGGAGCATACTGAGATGGCTCCTTGTGTGTGAAATGTATTTCACTTCATTTCTAATTTGGGGGAGGGATTTTTAAAAATACAAGTGGGAGCTATTGAAATGAATAATAAATATACGATAGTAGCTTATTCCTGTTAGGAAAAACTAAAATGTACTCTAGGACATCCTCCCTCATTCCCTACATGTATAATAGCTCAGTTCAGAGTTTTATTAGTTTCCCATCCCAGCCTGTTTTTTGATTAATTTGCAAATGCAATTTGCTCCTTTGTATCAGCCCTGTTCTTTAAACTGTCCATGAAACATCTGTCCTAATGTGGCCTTTATAATTTGCACCATAGTAGTTAAAGATGGGACCTTGAGTGGAGGGTGACATAGAGTCAAAGGGAAATTTTCCCTCTCAATGTTCCTTGGAGGAAATAGAGAAAGGTTGAGAGAACAGGCATGTAAAAGGTGTGTGTGTGTGTGTGTGTGTGTGTGTATGTGTGTGTGTGTATGTGTGTGTGTATGTGTGTGTGTATGTGTGTATGTGTGTGTGTGTATGTGTGTATGTATGTGTGTGTATGTGTGTATATGTGTGTATGTGTGTGTATGTGTGTGTGTATGTATGTACGTACGTATATGTAGCACTTGCATATCAAATCCCCCAGAACTGGAGTTCCAGGTAGTTGTGAGCTGCCCCATGTGGGTGCTGGGAACCTAACCTGGGTCTTCTATAAGAGTAGCAAGTGTTCTTATTTTTAGCACACTCTAGACACCATACTTTCAGAGTTCTCTGAGTTGTAAGAGCAGAACCTGACTTCAAGCAGTTCTTGAGTCCTGCCAGGCCAGGATATCCTATAAACCTGCCAGTGTTAGGTCTGGAGACCTACTGACCTATGGCAGCTTTCCCCCAGGCCAGCAGGTGGGTCTTCTTTCCTGAGATGGCAGGTGACAGGTGCTAGTGTAGCAGCCCCTAATCTTGTTTGCCTGAAATCACTAATTTATGATTCCTGAAGGCTAAGCCTTGTAGCTGTTAACACGGAACTAATTTCAAGAT